ATGGTCAAGGTTTTGTGTGAACTTGTTCATTTGTTTATAGACACTTAAAAGAGTATCGGTACTGCCAGACTGTTGAGTAGGGACCTGGGGCAATATGACTGAGTTTTAATAATTGCCTCCGATTCCAACATTTTGAAAACATCACTAGATCTAGTTTCTCTTACTAGATAAGTCGATCAGTTTGTCATTTTTTTATCAGACCATTGGGCTCAAAATGTTTTTTGTACTAGAGGTGTTTGATGGGTACCTCGTGTTGTCGAATCAGTTAAACCTCACAGTTACGGCCACTAGATTCTTTAAGAACTTTACATAACTAGCCTCATACCGAGTAGTCTAGACAGATCACTTAAATGCTGAGCAGCAGAAGTGTTACTGATTGTTTTTATATTTTATAAATCTTGTGCTTTCAAGTACAAAATAACACAACCAAAAAATGTTTCGTACACAAAGCACGAGTTTTTCCTCCTAGTGTATTAAAATTTTTGGAAACACTAATTCAACATTAAGTTCCGTATCTAGATACTTGACGTAGTTCAAGTTACCATTAATAGCTGGCCGTGAAGTGACAATTACGTAACCATAGTAACCACACTATTCCGTGTTAAAATATTTATTTTCTTTATAAAGTAGTTTGAGTTTGTTGCTGTAATATTTTGAGAGCAATTGGTTTATAGTTACTTAATTTTAATTGCGACTAACGTAATGTTGCTGTAACATGACACTCAAATAGACCATACAGTTTCCGTGGCTCTGTGCTTTATTTCTTTTTTATTTAAATTTTTCAGTTTAAATCATTTTTTCACATCCGTGGCTCTATGGTTTATTTCATTTAAACTTTTCAATTCAAATCATTTTTTCACACGCACTAAATCTAGGTTATCTCAGGAAGAGTAACATAACAATTACAGCTGTATTTGTGGAGGTTCACATACAGTTTGATACTATGAAGCAAACTGAATCCAAATACTGTCTTTGAAGTCTAAATATTATGTGAGCATTGTCTTTAAATATAATTTTGGCTTTATTTTTTATTGTTGTTAGGCATAAAGCTACACAGTGGGCTAAATATGCTCTGCCCGCCAAGCGTATCAAAACCCAATGTTTAGCATTATAAGCCCTCACACTTACTGCTGAAATACCTAGAAGTATTTGCTTTATTTATTCTCATTTAACCTTTTCTATACCTTGTGGCAGATATGAACCGTATGTAATTATTATTAAGAAGTGATCTTTCGGTACGTTAAAAACTGTT